GACACTCACTCGGATTTTGGATAACGTGTCCACAGTGGCGAGGCCGTAAGATAATCTGTCTGTGAACGTCTGACACCCCCAGCGGAGATAGGGAGTGTGCCGCCCAAATCGCCGAAGTGAACCTTCCCTTTTTTCATTTTTGTGCTTTCTTGTCGACTGAAATAGCTGAAGTACACCGTTGATAAGACGACGCAAGCAGCATAACTTTCTCTTTACATGGCTATTACTCATTGCATTCTAATTGGAATAAATATTTTTCTATTCCTCGAACACGCACGTTAAATTCGGCAGGATACAGCATAAAACGCGATTAACATTGCCTAAAGAATGGGCAAGCAATACGATCTGTACGGAGGCGAAATTTTTAGTAATAACTTTTGGCAAAAATGTTATATTTATAGAGTTATTTCTTATCAGGCAGGGTTTCCTCCTAGATTTTCGTTCACAAGGACCAAGAAGATTGTTTGTCTACTACAAAAGACGATAATCAAACAATCTCATAGGTTTAGTTGAATAATGGACGATTGGAGATAGTAAGGATATATGAATTAACAGGCGCAACGTGCCCGTATAAGAAACAACGTTACGTTTTGAAGACAGAGAAGTATGTGGCGAAGATTTAAAAATTGGAGCGAGGCAAGCGCGTTCAATACAATATTTTTAGTTTGAATCATTTCAAGTCGATCGTGTGAGTCGTAAGTTACGTGGCAGACAGCTGGGGCAACTTTACAAGCTTTACCTTTTAATTTGTTCGCATATTGATTTCTAGCAGCTTATTGTTAAATTTGATCATCCTATTAGGCGCAGTAGTAATGCCACTAGGGCAAGGACTGTTCAGTAAACGGGACCTGAACCTGTGAGTATCTAAACATGTGGGTCTCGGGTAAGTTACAGCGATATGTTTCCACCAATATTGGTCGAGCACTTATAAGCACAACGAGGTTGACATAGTTAAAGTTGATTCAGTAGTGTGATTTTAACTTGATTATATTAATAGTTAGACAATTCTGTAAAATAATTAGCTTTAAACTAATTTCGTTGTTTTGTATAATACATCGAAAGTATGGCAGGTCCATCTGCGAGAGATCGTTGATGGCATGCTTTGATCGCCAGCTCCTTTAAGCTTGGTCTAGCGATTTACTAGGCTCTCACAGCGTTGTTGTCACGGCTGCAGACAATCCGTTTCAACGTCCTGGAGACGTCTAGGCTAAAGGTAACAACAGCGCCCTTCTACATTCGTTTTTCGTTTACAGTTGTCCATTAGCATGACGGTGGCCTAGTGAGGTTCAGACCTTACAAACATGAATATCTTAAAAATCAAATCGGTATATAAATGCGTCGATGCCGCTTTTAGCCGATCAGAATAGCTGCTGCTGCTGACACCACAGTAGCTGTGATGTCAAAAGGAAGAATATCGGCAGCGGCTTGCTCTAGCCGTGTAAACGTTTACAGAAGATAATACTTGTTCACTATACTTGTTTCGTTCGTGAATGACATTTGCGACCCGCATGTACAGCCTCTTCGGCCGGTCTTGCGTGTCGTGCAACGACACTGATCCGGCGACGACGAAGACGGCAGCCATCTGAATCTGCAAATATTCCTTCCTTTTTCGTCCTCGACATTTGACTTTATAGGCAGCATCACCATTGTAGGCTGGATTTTTTTCCGTTCATTTCGTCGTGGCTTAGTTTGTTTGATATTTCTGCGTTCGTTTCTCAGTTATGTGTGGATCGGCCAATCACTTCTCGCTAGTGGCATCGCGACATTTGCTTCCGTCGGCTGCGACAGTAGCCGACAAGGGGGTGAGAAGACCCCTACGAAGATTGAGGGGAGCGCCAACTCTTATGAACTCGTACGCCGAAACACGCACACCCATAGACATACGAGAATGACCTGTTTGACACGAGCAGTAGTAACCACGATAGAACACGCACTAATGCCTGTTACTATCAACATTAAGGCGAGCGACGACATTTGACGCTGAGCTGAAACACTTTGGCCGCTTGTCTGCTTCCTGAATTAGTACTGCGCGAACGTTTTGTTGCCTCTGACTAAAGTCAGTATATCTGACAACGGTTCCGTAGGTGACATGTGGAAAAAAAGTCCTACAGCCTTAAAGCTCGATATCATACTTATATATCTAGAACTAATTTCGCACATGGCGCCAATATTGCCGCCTGTGTAAATAGAAAAAAAATATGTTTTTAGGACCTGTGATTAATATTTCGATATATAGTTGTTAATAAATAGTCGTAAAAAATACAACGTAAATATTCAATAGAACGTGTCCTAGGTTACAGTTTTCTCTAATATCCTTACTAGTTAGTCTGATATGAGAGGCTCCAGTTTTCTATGCAATATTTTTATGGAACGTTGCAACCAGGGACCTTTGAGTGCTCGAAACAGAATTGATTACGGACGACCAATTTAGCACAACTCAGACAGAACTGGGTCCGACGCAACGATACAAATTTAGGTGTTTAATATTAAGAAATTACTGTTTTTTACATTATCAATGAACTTCCTTAAGAGTGCTATTAAAGTCCATGACATGCGTTGTATTATAGTAAATACACGAGTGATATGGATGTGTTTCCCGATGTAGAAAGTGCAGTAGATCATGAATGAAGTTGAATATGAAAAATTTGACCACGATCACGTTCTGGACATACCGTGGACGTGAAGTTCGCACACGAACTTTCTCATACAAAAGATGAAGGTGTTCACCCTGAACCATTACCTGGCGAAGTGTGGATGTAATTTTCTCGATTTCGTCGTAGATTCTACTTATGTGTCCCCATTGCATAGTTTCATTTGTGCTACTTTATTCCAATGGAAAATATTTACTGATCTATTTTGTCAACGTTGCCATAACCAAAACTACAATCAGCAACCTTTATAAGAATATACTCATAGGCATAAAGTAAGATAACTTGAGCACGGTTGAGTTATCTACCCTTGTCGCTGGCCTAGGATCGTTAGACCCCTTGCTGGACGGCAACAGCTGCGGTGTACAACAACGCAAATGCCGGTCTTGCATGTACATACAGATATTTGCCCCATCTAACAGTAGCAGCAAATCGAAAAAATTGTCAAAATCAGCGTTACATACTTCAGTTAGAACGAAGACGAACATCGTGTTCTTAGCAACTCTAACAATAACAGCAGTCAATATGGCTGATTGTCGTTTCTATGCTAGAACCTTTTCACTGCTTTTTTACCTGTCCTATGCTCTCTCCGCGGTCATGTATCTACTTGACATTTTCTCGCATACGGACACCACCAGAGACAATACTTTTTGCTTGTGCTGGAATAGTATCCCGTGGCACAACCATAAGCACAGACTTACGGGAACATCAATAACGCGCCTATCGGCGCCGGAAATCAGAAGGTCATTTTGTCTAAGACTAGATTGTCACTAATGCTTTATACTTGACGATGATTACTAAGATCATTATTAGTATTACAACTCGGCGTTTGCACTACGGTCCATGCGCACTCGTGCAGCAACTTATTATAAAACACAGCATATGCTGGAACTTATTTATCTAGAATTATACTCTACATATTTTCAAAAGAGAGTAATTTCTATACTACTTCCAACAGTAATCTTCATTTTAAGGTTGGTCTGAAAAAATGCGTTCGTCCATCATATTTTTTAAACGTTTCTATTTATAAGTTCACAACAAGTTCCACTTTCTTTTTTAACTGCTAAGACATTTACGCCGATCATCGCGTAAACCGTTAGCACTCGCAACGAAGTTCAGGGTTCTCAGTGTACTTTGCTCCGATGTCGCCCATAAAAGCTAAATAGAAAGGACAGGAGCAAAGAGAATTTGCCCCTCTGAAACAATGGACCCATCGAAAGTTAGCCACCCTATCGAAAGCTAACGACGATCCCTGTAATTTTTCTGTTTACAGCCAGGTCGCTTAAGCTTAATTAAGCTTGAAGTTAATTAAGCTAGCTATGAATGCCAACAGGGTACAGATAGTGTAGGAAAACGTAGCTTCGGTACGATGGCATAAAGTGTGCAACAAGGTGACAATAAATTGCAGCATAGATCAATTTGAGTTTCGACCGTAGTCGAAGCCATGCCCTTGGCAACGAACTTGGTCTACCGATTTATCTAAAACACTAATTAAGAGAACATAGACTATTACCGAGCGCAGTTCTACAGCAACCGACAGCATATACAGGAGAACTGTCTCAAATTTTCTGCGTCGTCAAAGTTTAAGAATCTACCGAAGGATATACTGAATATATATACAAATGCCTTAAATGAATGCAAACGTACGCCGACTGAGGTCGCGCGGCTAACGTAGTAACTGTGACGTAGAACTCGTGGGCGGACGAGGACAAAATGTTATGCAATAGAGTTGCCAGAAAAACACGGTTATATGTCGCTACTAGTGTATCTGACAAGGCTTGCAGTAGAGTGTACACATAACCAGCAAAATTCCCAGGCTCTCTGTTCTGCCATTTTAAAAATATACGTGCAGAAATAAGCGGAGCCTTCGAGCTGTTTTCCCATAAACAATTCTTGATTCTTTGCATTATTACTACTACCACTTTCTTGATACTGCTACCAAACGTCTTAGTTTAACTGACATCGTGTTCATTGGGTGATTACTTGGTTTCTGGTTAGTGCGCTCCACTTTGACAGGTTTTTTAAGCTAAGCGGTATGTATTTATCGCATGAGGTTGTTACGTCTATCGGTACTGTAATAAAATGTTATTCTCAATTTATATTTTTGTATAGAGCATATTAGCTACGTACATCGTACTCAATGAGTCAAAGGAAAGCATAATACCGGACACGCCAATTTAAGTGTCGTAAGGTTGAGTAACGGTGCGCTTTCTTACAGTTACGGTATCTTTCGATTTCTTTATTCTTTCGTCTTAATAAAATGTATGGAAGTCTAATGACGGAGATTTAATCGATAATTAAATTTGCTTTTTTGTTTTTAAGCGACCAAAAAGGCAAACTAGTAAGACGTACCTTTGGCCTGCACGCCACCCTCATCCTGTCGATGTGAGCGGCCGAAAAATGTCCAGAACTGCTTCTCGACTTCTGCACGCCTCCTCGTGACTCGTACTACACCACACTTCTGTCGTGCTACACACTCACTATCCTTTTGAAGCACTTCCAAGTTCGCTAGTCTGACGTCTCCGTCGGCTTCTTCTGGATCTTCACCGTTACCTTCTGTCTGTGGGCAGCCTTTCGTTCTCCAAGCCGTAAGTGAACGAGATGTTTAGGCTTCAACGAAGTATGTTCGCTTTTCTGTTTTGTGCATCAATACGACTTCTCGTAGAGAAAGGGAGAACTGCAACGACTTATAATTGTATTAGCATTTGCGGCAGAAATAGAAATTGTTCGTGTTTTTCTTATTTTTTTCTGTTCGTTTCACAAAATTCCGGCGACCGTCTCGGGCCCCGGACTTCACTACACTGACAGTCCGGGCCCGGCTTCGCATGTCTTACAGCTACCTCCTTTCCATCGCACGCCACTGCCACCAATTCGAACGAGGGTTTTGCTTCGGGTGTTTGACGGTAGCGGCAGGCAGCAAGCCCTTAGCGCGGAAGATGCTCCGTCTGTCTGCGCGTCCGCCTATCGGCCGCTCTGTTAGTGCCGTCGAAGTCGGCGATCAACCGTACCAGAGGCATCGTTGTCCCTGACGGGCAAAGGATCCGACGAAGACCGCAGCGTCGGCAGCATTCAGTCCCTCAGTGCATTAGGCCACAGCACACGATAGCTGTTTGTACAGTTTCCACTTCGTGTGTCGACCCCCTTCTCTTCTACATGCGAATTCGTAGTAACGCAACGAAGTCAGCGGGTGCCCATTGGTCAGTGAAGACAGTGAATCGCCGCATCAGCGCTAGCTAGCTAGCGCGATCCGTAGCTTACGGAGACCATGTTTACCCCAGCTATATTAGATAAAGAGGCTTTCTTGAGCTAAAGCGGCGGCTGATAGATATGTCAGACGATTAACACTCAGAGTGTATGAGTTGGAGCATTCTAAAGAGAGAAACGAGCTGGGTGAAAGTTGGTAAACTGGGCGGGCGTGGAAGCCCAACGGGCTCAAACGTTAGTTTGAGAGCATGTTACAAACATATTTGTCGAACAGTCTCTCCAACGTTAAATAGCAGAATAACGTATAGTTATTGCTCGTACCAGAAATGATTACTACCGGTTAATGTTTGATAGGTCTATGCGAAAAGTACGCTGTTCGCCGTAAATGTAGTTATTCCACACACTACACCGCTGCACGGCACTGGCTCTTAGAACTTACGACTAACTCAAACGTCTATCAAGTGTTTTACAATTAATTTTATCAAATGGACTCAATGTATAGACGGGTAGGATTATGATTTGTTACATTGTTGGATTCACAGGTTTGGTTTAACCGGCAAAAAATCTTTTTGGCCCGTTTCGCAGAGTTTGGCAGCTAGGATCTACTTAAAAATATAGCAAAAGCTAGAATAAGAAACTTTAAGCAGAGCTCAAGTCTGTACTTTGAGCGCTATTGCGTATGAATTGTGACATACGCCATCTTGCAGTGCTAGTAACAGTCATAATCGTCAAATTACAGACACAGAAACTGGATGATCCACGGGCGGGCTTGGCAATGGAATAGATGTGCTGAAGACGTGTGCGCCGAGTCCAAAACTATGGGGAAAATGCGGGACTCTTTGTGAAAATGCACACATATATACATATATATATACATGTTATATTGAAACGCGGCCGCACCACCAGGCAAATAAGTCGCGCGCTTCAGGACGCATGCGCCAGCAGTGTCTCGGTCATACTGCACGTGGTAAATTGTTTAGCACGGTTAAATAGTCGCAGTTGTTGTCATAGGTTTTATCAGTAAAAGGCCTATTGATTACGCTTGCCGTGTTGGCGAAACTTGTGTCATATGGGTTTAATCGCGCGAGGACTTCATCAAAGGCAACGTGACATCACGGTACCGATACACACACTCATATAGTAAACCTTCAAAGAAGAAGGGTTTTCATATGATGATCGTCAAGACGCCCGCCATCATCGTCATCATCATGCCTTTCGACAATGAGTCTTTTCCATTTGGCGCAGTTATGATCGTACCCGATTCATGTATAGAAAAATACAAAGAGCACACAGAAGTGAATTTATCGAGGGATGAAATCTAACGTTTTGGCAACATCGACTAACGAACAATATATACACACATTAGTTTATGACCCTTAGCGGTTGCGATGACGTTTAATTACTCGATAGAATAGAAACCACCAGAGCTATGTGATGTAATAGAATTTCTATGTATCGCACCTGGTGACTTCAGTCTCCTGTTGCTAAGGCGTTTGTTTCCAACGCACACGTCTTCGTTGTGTGGAATCAAGATCGAACAGCATTTCTATAGTAAATAAAGTCAGCTCCAAAGAACATTACGTTACAACATATTGCTAATGAAGCTATCCATCGTTCTTAATGTTTTTCTTTACGCTTATAAACTAGCACAGATACATAAAAGAAACTTATTTAAAAAAAAAATGTCGTATTGACGGGACTAGTTCTCTTTGAAATGCATGCCCCACGACATTGAATACGTAACGTGGGCATGTCGTGGACATAATAATAATAATAAGATAGCCTGCTCGATTCTAACTAATAGTCTACTAGCGACTCTACACGAAAACTACCTTATCCTAGCGGCAAAGATTTGATCCTTAGGCGCTACTGACCCCGGAAATCATTAAGACACGCAATATTTCGGTGAAAGTCGCAGATGACGTTACTTTAACGTAAAATAATGAAGCATTCCTTTTGACGCTTTCAAAAGTTGTATTTCGTCGTATACAAATAAATAGGTGCCTACCCACTAATCTTCTAACCGTTAATTTATATCGCCGCTTCGCCGTACAGCGTTTATTGCCGATCTTCGGCTCTACGATTTTCCGTCCATAAAAAGAAAATGGAATTTGTTCATTGAGGAAAGGACCTTTTCAATCAGAATGCAGATGGCTAATGAGTGAACAAATCGTTATAAACGAAACGTAGCCAACTCCATTTGACATGATTTGAGCTGCTATCCTTCATAGAATGCATAAGAAAAAAAGCTAGGACAAAAGAAGCCTTTTTATGCTTTTCTGTTGGTAGAGAAAAATTAATTTAAAAAATATTTTCATACGTGTGAGTAATACATTGAACTAGTCCTGTTGCCGAAACTAGATTATGTTCCTTTGTCTAATGGTTAAAGTACGACGAGTTTTCAGTGATCTCGATAGTGGTGCTTTTGGCAATACGTTTCAGGCGGCTGGTTTCCCGCCATAACAAGTTCAAGTTAGGATTATTTAAGAAGTTGTTCAAGCAAGTGGATTCAATGTTCGGCCATCGTACCAACTAACTTCGAAATCGCTGCTTGAGCCTCAATTTTTTTCTTATCGTTCACTCATACGCAAGGTACAGTTAACAGGAACTGTCACGTGTTTCGGCGTTTATTGTGTTTTGAAAAGTTCTGTCGTCGTGGCAGCTTTATGCTGTCCCGCAAGTGTCCTGGTTAACCGATACACGCACACTTGTGCAAGGTCAGCAAAACTTCGCTTAGTTACCAAGATCTACACAATTTTATCTTTCGCTCGAGTTTGATTCTTTTATATCAGACGAAAGGCAAATGCAACCCGAAATGCTGCCAACTTAAGTGGCAATCAATAAATGGTTTAGCGTACAGCACTGCAAGGGACGATGTTCAACATCTACTAGCTCTACGCTGTCGATTCAAGTGTGCCATGAATTATTATTATTCTATCAATTTCAAATTCTACAAATAATCTAAATTATCTCGGTGTTAATTGTACGACCGATCCAGAGAAAGGGAAATAGGACAAGAGAAACTGACTGTTTTCATCGATAAATTTTATCTACTAGTTAATTTTACTAGCCTTAATAATGTCTAGCTCAAATCCCTGGGTAGTACGTGTATGCTAAAGGTGTCTGAGGAAATAGTCTTCTTTACATTCAGATAGAAGCTTGAGAACTCGCTTAGAACGATGTAGTAGTAACATAAAACATTGAGCGAAATATATATTATGCCAAAATCATTCCAGCAGTGATGTCTTCTTCTAAGGCAGCAGATAACAACTATGGATAATATATCGTGTGTTTCGACGATGACAGACCAATAAAATGAGACAATTTCACAAACAAAAAAAAAAAAAAAAAAAAACGATAGAAAAATTGGTGCAAACGGTTTGTAAATGTAAAACAGCGGCGGTAGCAAATGGACGCGAGCTAGAGGAAAATAGCTATAGGCGGCCAAGACGAACTAAATTGCTGAGACATAGTACTTTCGCTGCTACCGCCACACAAACTTCTATTGTGAGAGAGACAACGCCGGCCGGTCGAGCGATTGGCTAACCGCGACGGCTACTACTTGTTACCTGAACAAAATAGCCCAAAATGGGAAATATCAACAACGAAAATAAAGAAATCACTGATTTTGACCACAATCAACGCCACCTCTTCCACACTTTACTATTTAACTTAACGAACATAGGCTAAAAGTTGTTATAGGTTTAGACGATACGGATAAACCCCACATACACTTTGATAGATACTTACGTAAGTGAGAAATATTAATAGGGAAACTGCGAAAGAACAGAGATAAATGATGATGATGAAAGACTGTTTTTTTCCCATCATCATTTTTGATGTACTGAAGCTGCTTTGCGCTGTTAAAACGATCGGCAGTCGACTCTTCATGTACGGCGTCCCCGTGTTGTTCTACGTAGCAGCAGCTGCCGTCTCCATATACAAGTATCTGGACCCAACTGGAAAAATCGTTAGACGCCAATCCCTGTGGCATTGTGTCTCTCAGTAACTCCATAGCTAAAGAGCGGCGACGACCATGAGGCGGAAGCCTGAGAGTCAACTTGAAACGATGAACGCTACGACGCTGCACTAAGTCCTGTCACTGCGTCTTTCATAATTCAAAGTTTTAAGGCCATTCACGCTTGCCATGACGAGATCCGCTTCTATTGACACTACTGGCACTAAAACTTTCGGCCATTACGACTCCAACAAGTTCGACCACTGATCAGTCATCATGGTCCACAGACATTAGTTCGATGCCCCTGCCATCATGCATCTCTAATTTCGCCACTGTCAGGCCGCCAGCTGACCGAACCCCATGAGGGTTAAATTGATGAGTAATTTCACAACTTTTAATCAAAAACCGTTTGTTTTTATAGACTTTCTTTTCACATAGATTTTTTAGCTGCTTCTTTCAGTAGAAGTAACAGCGCATGAATATATTTTCTAAATTTCGATCCACCCCCGAACGCAAGTATTTCTGCCGATTTGGCTGAACGGGCTGGCTGGCTACCTGGCTCCGGTCTTATCATGCGCTCTTGTTTCCTCCTGGTTCTCTTTC